ATTCCCTGAGTTTTAAAACAGGATAAACTCAGTCAATTTATATTCTAAAGGAGAACATACATACATATATACATACATACATATATACATATACATACATACATATACATACATACATATACATACATACATATACATACATACATATACATACATACATACATATACATACATACATATGATTCACTCATACATACATATATAGATATATATTCGCTTTTAGAACATAACTTTTAAACGTATATATGTAAGAAAAAACATTTTAAAAGGAAAATAAGTTTAAACAGGCATTTATGTCACAAAAGACAAAAAAGACAAAAAATTCGCCAGAATATTTATTTTTACATAATTCATATATAGTATATTAATTGCCTTTAAATATTTTCATTGGAATAAAATAGGCTTTTTCATAAACATATGATGTCTAGTAATAATATTAAAAATAGCAACATACAACAAGAATACTAAGAAAAACCGCAGATCCAGTCTGGGGTTGAAAAAGACATCGCTTGATTGCTCAGGCACTGCGGCCGGAGTTTGCATCATTTGAGCTCTCCGGGATGAACCGCGTATCTGTCGTGGTGACTGAGAATTCGCACAACATAGTGGCCTCCCTTCAGCAGTACATTTTGAGGAAGGTCAGCTACCACGACAGAGACGCGGCTCATTCCGGATAGTCCAGATTATAAAACACATGGCGTATTCAATAGGTTGACCGGACGGGCTCTAACGTGAATGACGGGCGAACAGACACATGCAGGTTACTGGCGTATATGTACATGTAAAATTATGGTGTCATTTTGCTTTAATTCCAGAATTAAATTGGTAGATTATTCGTAAACAATTTTTTTTAAATGACTTCCTTTGGCGCCAGGCAAATATATACATGATAGTGGTTTTGTGTCATCTTTTAAAATCCAGGAAAACGCCTGGTGAATCATCAAAGAAGCTCATTACTTCCCTTAATTGTCAAAGAATTGTTTGTTATGATATTGTATTAGAGATGTTTATTAACGATCAAATAAAGAAATACGCTTGAAATATGGAGCAGGTTTCATTTTCGATGAACTCAATGTTCAAAATTGCAAATTTAGAAATATTGCGAAAAAGTGTGTGCTGTTGTAGAACCACTAGTTCTACGCCTACGTAGTAAGGAGATAAAGTAAAAAGTGCAGAAAAAAGTTACTAGCCAACAGAATTTAAATAAATTATTCAAACGCGCTTGTAAAATTACATACTTTCACAATACTAAACTATTTTCGAAAACATTGTCTCAGAGTGATGCATGGGAGAAAAAAAAGAACATGAACGAGAATTACACAGCAGAAGTTTGGTAGAGGATATGAATGACAAGTTGTATTCCGTAAACGCCAAATTAAGAGAATGTTACGTTGGTAAGCTTTTAGACTGACATTTAGGAGTCCTATTTCTTTGATAAAGTTCCATGACTCATGAACCCACCTAGCTAAATATTTTCCCACCTCTTTCAATAAAACTACGCACAGTAATGCTACCGCATTCAGTTCCTCTTGCTTACTCGCTTAATTATAGTGTTTTCTGAAGTATTCAAATTTTATTACCCGTAATTGTTTAGAAGTGTGAAGTTATTATTTAAATGTCTGAAGAAAGTGAATTAACAATACAAAATGTCGAGGAAGAGACACAAATGCGCAAATTACTTTTCGCCTGGCCTGACTACATGACGTTCTCTTTTTTGTTAGTGATTTCGGCTGCTATTGGGATTTATTTTGGATGCTTCGGTTCTCGACAAAAATCAGCCGCAGATTATCTTCTCGGCGGTCGGAAAATGAGTGTATGGCCCGTCGCGATATCCCTGATTGCTAGGTAAGTAATGACATACTTTCATGAGAGACTTAGTAAGTAAATTAAATAGTGGGCAAATAACCAACGTCCTGGTCTTACGTACAAAAGAGACGCATTTGTGCTGTCAACTTTGTAACATTTAATTATAAGACAATGTTTCAAATTATTGTAGTATTTAATAATACATCTGGACCGAAGAAAGTAAATTTAACGATTCACTCATTCAACAATTAATAGATTTAATACATGTACTTATTTGAATCAACTCCCTTACAGTAACGAAGTGAACGAATCGGTTCATTTTCGCTACAACATGGCGAACAATAACACAAGACCGCAAGAAGAATGGCGTTATATTTATAACCTCAAACTTTTAATGCCCGGTGGCGCTTAGCTATGTGTGTCCAATTATATGGCGAAGCTCCGGCCTACGTATTTAACATAAACATCCTTGTGCCTAAAGCTAATACATTTTATTGCTAACAATTTTTTGGGAAAACTCTTTTTAAACTTATACTAGACGCTTTGTAACGTGTGTTGAATGTTTGTTGAAAGTGTGTGTGAAAGTTTTTTTAAATTAAAATGAATAATTCTCTTTTGAATTACGGAACAGAATGCTCTCGCTCCTGCAACATGTTTTTCGCTATCGTTCACCGGTCTCACGACGACAGATCCGATTCGTTACGGTAAGGGATATGACACTTTTTACTTTCTCTCCTTACTACGTAAGTGGTAAAAAGATAGAATGGTAATCGTGCGGCGCAAATTGGCGATTTTTCGACAAAAAATTTTTCAGTGTTGAGACCCGGTATCGAAAATGTTATAAATCTTGTTCCTATAAACAGTAAATCACATCTTCTAACCCATGTAGTTAGATTTCATTTTTTGTAGGTTCTTGATACCGAAAAATTGATTAACGACAAAATGTTTTTTTTTTTCGCCTGTGCTCTGGTCAACACTAGCGCCTAACCGTTCAGTCGATTGTCTCCAAAATTAATTTTCCGCAATCGATATAAAGGAACTCGAGGCCCTTTGAGCCTGAAATTGATATGTTGTTTTTGGAGGTTCTTTAAATGAATCGGTTTATATAAAATATTTTTGAGTCACATTTTTGTCAAAATTAAGTTTTGTGCGGGAAATGATTCCTGGGATAAAAAATACACATTTTATGCAAAACCCTTCTATGTCCGTCCTCCCTTCGCTAGTTTCAAGTTTTGAGTGTGCGAATGTAAACGAAAAACGTTTAACAAGACAGTAGCTTGGTACGTTTCTGCTTTCTGTGCTGGTAGCGCTTTCATAACATAATTGTGTATTCGTATATTCAGGAATATTCCCAAGTAGTCTGTCCTCATTTGTTGTACGTCTTTGTACACTTGTGGATGAGTTTTGTAAGGGAGTGTAAAACTGATGTGTGATACGAGTAATAGTAGAAGCAGGAACGATAAAATGACTCTCACTGGAAGATAATTGTTGCAAAAAATGCAAGAGTAAAGAGGAAGCAGTATTTTGATTACAAAGGAAGACTTGGGTCGCTTGTCACGACTGGTCCTGATTGTTGGTAATAATCATTACGTTAGTACCTACATTGCAATTTCACAATGCATGGGGGATACTAAAATAGCCATAATATTTTCTTTTTCTTGGGAAATTGAAAGATAATTCATAACAAAAACCATAACCTAGAAATGATTTGTCGTGGACAATCTACTTGTATACTTTCTAATCAAACATTTATGGGAATTCCATTATTTAAAAATAAATGGCTTAATTCACCTTATTTAATTTCAGATGTAGAAACAAGTGAACGGAACGTCTTGCCAACTAGGTAGATAACATTTTTGTACGTTTATGGAGTTTGAAAACGAAAAATGAGCAAGATTTATTCTTACAATCTGTACTTGTTAGTATCGATGTAAGAACCCATCAATTCCGAAAGCAAGGTACGGAAGCATGGGTTGAGCACGAAATTAGTGTCACGTGTCATGTACTGATTAGTGACAATAGACGAAAGATATGTTTGAATGTATACAAATCATTCCATGCCATTAAAATCGGTCGTACTGGAAGGTTTCACACTCTTCCGCTGGTGGATAAGAGCCCCAATGATTTTTGAGGCACGAGATTAAGCGCAAATACTGAACTTGGTATTGTTAGGGTACTTCCAAAGGGACATATTGAGAGTTATCCACTGAAGGAAAGTAGATGCTGGGATAATCGTCCAATATATAGTTTCCAGACTGAATAGAGAAACTAATTATAAAATGTTCGCAGAAAAACGTCCTACTGTAAAATTCATCTAAAGAGTTAATTGTGCTTTTTTCAATGACAATTACAACCGAAGATTTGGTCGTCCGCAAAATTGATTTTTGTTGTACCTGTGAGGAGTTATCTGGAACTTGAAAGTGCTCTCACCTTAGTGATGCGGATAAAAGGAATGCTGCTACTGCTGAAGTAATGATTCATAAGCGTACGTCCAAAAAGTTGTATAATAAATTGAAAAGTGAAAACCGACAAGAGGCAAAAGAGAAGGCTCATCATGTGTTAGCAATCCTTTTGATTCCATGCAAACTCAAGGGACCACGAAGGACAGGAAGAAAAAGTCAAGAAGCGGTTTCTTCCATTGGAAGCAATTATTTGTTTTTCGCAAGACCATAATACATAGAGGTACATGTGTATTCACATGTGTGGAGGGCAAAATAAGAAACACGCCTTAAGCAAGTTTTAAAAGCGCTCACAGACACTAGCAGATTCAAAAAGATTGAGCAGTATTATCCCATAAGAGAACAGTCGCATCTCCCATGTAACGAGGTTTTTGCTATCATAAAAAAATAAGGCATGACAGAGTATACCTTACACCAACTAACAGAAATAATCATTTTTTCAAGTAAATCTTTTAAATTTACTGTAAAAGACGTGAACACAAATAATACACTTAACTTACAATTGCGGCCACCATATTATAAAAAGAGATGCTTTTCACAAGAAAGAAAAGATAGAGGAGTTCCTGGAGCAAAAAGGGTATTTTGGAATAAGTTCAACAATGTATTTCACATATGGACATGCTACTGGCATTATTTTAGGAAAGCCGTTTATTAGCGGTTTAGTGCTGTACACCTACGAATGTGCACATCAAATTGTTCAGAGGATTTCATTTCAACAACACTGTTTTGCGATAGGAATGTACCAATAAAGATTCAAAAGCAGCAAGACATTTGGATGCTTTTGCGATACATCCCTGAAGATCATAAAGAGTTTTATGACGTAGTTTGGGAACAGGGTACAAATGAAAACGTGACAGTTGTGGAAGAACATGACATGACAGAGAGAAATATCTAATATTTATAGCACAAATATACAAGTCAAAAACGGAAATAGAAAGTAATTTTGCAAGAATAATTTGGATTTTTCATTACTAAGACATGCATGTATGCAAGAACCTTCGAAATACATGTAAATAAATTGTGCAATGCAATGAATTTCTGTGTACAAGCACTTCACAATAACATTCTCACTTAATGGTATTGTCATTACTAACACAGAAACGGCTTCTCGGTTGTTGCTTTTTGTTGTTGTTATTTCCCTGAAAAGTGGTTTTGATGCTTTAATGTCAGAACCATTACGCAAACATCGACGCAAATGAAGCACAATAAAATTTTCAAAAAAATGGTTGCAATTTTTTAAATTAAACTTCGTATAGCGTCAATGGCACTTAAAAGAATGCAGCAAATCCCATAATCGTTCAAATAATTGAGTTTTACACAATTGCAAAAAGTTCAAAATATTTTTTCGACGTCGTCTTACAACAGTAATATTGAAGATACACATTATTTATGCAAGTGAAATATTTCTTCACAATTACTTTTTCACAAACGTCATGTATATTTTTTGAAAATATTTCGTGAAAGTAAAAAGCGCATGAACAATTTTTAAAGAAACAAGTAGTTTTTGCGTTATTTCTGCTTTAAATTAATGCAATTTAAAAAAAAATCATTTGTTTCAAAACCGTTCCAATTTTTTTTGCATTTTTTCATGCTAAACTTAAAAGGGTGGCGCAGGTTTAATTTTTGTTGAATTCTCAGAATTTTCAGAAACTTCTTGTAGGAAGTAATGGGAGAGAAAATTATATTTTTAAGCGTCATCCCAAGAAGTATATTAGAGCGACTGTGTGGAGTAGCGGTAAAGCGCCCGGCGTGTTAACTCGATGGACCTGTATTCCAGTCTCGGCGCAAAAACAAGCTTTGCTAGTTGAAAATACTTTTGTGGGATCATGTAGTAGAATAATATTGAGGAGCCGTTAAAAATGATGCGATAAAGTATGTGCTGTCGTAACGCTACTACTTTCTCGTATACGTGCGAATATACGGAGTAATATAAATGTAGAGAACGTTAACCAATACTGCCAAAAATCGGTTTGGGGATCCTCTGACACCGAGAACGTGTTTATTAAACGTTCGCCCTCGTCCCCTTGTTCATCCGCTTTGATTTATTCTTTCGGTTTTTTTTAAATTACACAAATGTATTTTTTTATTATAACTCACGACGTTAATATTTACATTACGGGCATTTTTTGATAGATTATTGCATTTGTGAGTAGAAGTGCATTAAATGATATCCAATGAAGTTCCTTAAAAACTCAAAAGTTTTCTGTGAAAATGAGTTCAAAATTGCGCATTTTCAAAAACCGTCGGAAATTTACTTAAAAACTACTAAATTTGCTCGCTTAAAAACTACTAAAACTGGCATAAGGGGTTCAAAGAAGGACGTGAACCTGAACAAATGAGGAACATGATCGCCGTCCTCAGACCAGCATTACGGAGGAGAACATTCGCTCGATTCGTGCACTTGTTGAAGGGGATTGACGTCGAACAGTTTCAGACGTTGCAGCAGAGGTTGAAGTAAGTTATGGGGGCCGTCAAGCAATCATGACCAAAGATCTAAGGTTTCGCAAAATGTGTGCTAGGTGGGTTCCTCGCCTCTTGACAGCAGGACAGAAGTTGAGACGTTTGCACGTCTGTCAGATGAGAGGAAATGAAATGTGCTACACTTGAACATCCTCCCTATAGTACTCATCTATCACCCTGCGATTTTCATCTGTTTGGATCCCTTAAAGAATCACAGGGAGTGCAACTATTCCAAGATAATGCGGGAGGGGAGGACTTCGTGCACAAATGGCGTATGGAACAATCCAGATCCTTTTACGATACCGGGGTTATAAATGTATCAATTCGCTCGTCAAAAAGCATATCCAAAGCAGGAGATTCTGTGGAAAAATTATATGTACCTAGCTACTTCATTTCACTAAATATACGTATTTTTTAAATAGTGTCTCGTTTATATTTGATTCACCTACGTATAACTGTTAATATTTCTCCAATCTAAAACCTTTCACATCATTTTACTGAAATATTATTTCATATTTATTTCAGTAATATGTCTGCTGGGACATTGCTGGGGGCGCCTTCAGAGATATACGTATACGGAACACAGTATTGGCTGATCTGTCTGTCATTGGCTATAGTTTGCCTTGTTGTGACAATTGTTTTTATTCCAGTCTTCCATAAATTACAAATGACATCATCTTTTGAAGTAAGTAATATTGTTGAGAGAGTACATACATTAAGACAACATATTTTTTTTATGATATGGGAATCTTATTTTCTACAATATTTTCTCTTCACAGTACCTTCAAGTTCGGTTTAACAGAAGTGTTCGAATTATAGCGTCAATGCTCTACACCCTCTCACAAGTAACACATTTACTTACTTACATGAACAAACGTGAAATAAATAGCTATAAATAAATACATGTTAGAATTAGCTATAAATACTGTCTTTTACAGATTATATACATACCAATTGTGATTTATTTACCTGCTCTTGCGTTTAGTCAAGGTAAATGTTGGGAATATGTATTTTAGTCGATCTTTTTGTTCCTTTATTCAATTTTTCTGAATAACATAACTGTCTATTTGAATGTCTTTAGTTTCTGGAGTAAACGTACATCTTATAACGCCAATTGTCAGTGCTATTTGCATTTTTTATACTACATTGGTAAGTTTAATTCATTTTATTTCATTATCTTATGCAGTTATATAATTTAATATGGGTTTACAGGTGTAATTAATCAAACATTATTATTCTACTATTGCAGGGAGGAATCAAAGCAGTGGTATGGACAGACTTTATCCAACAAATTGTATTGTTTGGAGCATCTATCCTGGTGGTCATCTTAGGACTCGTGCAAATAGGTGGTTTCTCAAATATGTGGAATATTAATTCAGCTGGAGAAAGAATTGAATTTTTCAAGTTCGTTTAACATTTACATCTTTATTTATATTTTATTAGAACGTTGTTGTCACGTAAATAAGAAGATGAATTTACTTGGCAATTTGAAGTCTATACAATACCTCAATATTGAAAATAATCTAATGGTAGTTTCAAAAATTCGTGTCGAGTATGCTGTCGCTATTCCCAGTACTAATAATGAAAAAAAAATAGTTATTTTCGAAAGCAATGCAAACTTTGGTGTTCGAATGAAATGTTGACGGACGAGGGGACCATAGGAGCCGGGTGTTCCAATGAGATATGAATACGCCATACACACTTCCGTACGTGTTGGAGGGTCCTTGATACCCACACATTGATTGACGGTAAAAAAATGTTCGGCTGTGGTCAATTTTAACGCCTAAAACCGGTGAACAATTTGTTTTCCCCAAAATTGATGTTCCCTAATTTGAACAAACCCAAAGCCATGCGAATTTGAAACATACTTTGTTTTTGGGGAAGGTTTTTTGCATTAAGAATCGTCAGTTTCAAAACTTCTAAAAAATTTCCCCAAATTTGATTGACTTTGTCCTCAGCTATTGCAACGAACGCAGGTTCCACTTTCATTTAGGTACAATGTTTCGAAAATATGGTTTTTTTACGCGTAATGTTGCGTGAAATATAATCAATTTTAAACAATTAATTATTTTCTCACAAATGGCTCAATTTGTTTTCTTAAAATTGTTTCTTACTTTGGTTACTACTTCCAAAGGACGGTAAAAATGGTTCTGTTCCCCCTTTCTTGGCAACTGAATTTTCGTAAATTGGAAAAAACGTCTCAAAAATGCAGTAATAATGATAGAGATTTGTATGTTAAATTAAATCTATACCAAATATAGATATTTAAATCAGGTCTTTTACATTTAGAAAAGGCTAGTACTAGTAAAGATACTTTAAAAACGTCGCAGGTCTCATGCTCGTTGAAATCCCTGTTTTGTTAAATTGCGAAAGTTAAAAATTGTATTCGGCGCCTGCACACTACTGTATTTAAGAAAGATTTTTCTTGAATAAAATCTGTTCTTTAAAGACAGATCTTCACATAAGGTCAGTTAATGTTTCGAAAATATGATTAGTTTTCGCGTAATTTTGAGATTGAACGATATTTCGGAATCAATAACGTCGGGTAGGATTTGGGGGAGATTGAAAGTGAGTATCAGAGTAAGGGAGCTACCCCAAGCTATGTAAATGGCATTAAAGACACCTATAAGGAGTGTAAGTTGACTTTGTGTATGTAAGTGTGTAAGAAGTGAGAACAGAAGAAGTAAGAGGGAAAATTTTCGCGCACTCTGGGCCTCGTTCGGTCGGGAACTGCACGAGCATTCACTTGGTATTGGTAAGAGAAAACTACTGATCAGAGTAGCCAACCGCTGGAATTCTCCTCCAGACAAGCTGCTCAATTCCACTTAGCTCTGTAGTTAGAGACGTAAATCCTGCCACCTCGAGCCCTCGGACCTCCCGGTCAGAGGGACTGCAGTGATATTGATGCCCTGTGTCACCTTAGGCGGTGAAACTTTTCGATGGTCTGAACAATAACGGGTATATTTGGATTGAATTTGGGGTTTCAATTTGTGTTGGAGAATTGTCTGGATTATTTTATTTAGATATTGATGCTTTTGAACTGTGGATATAGCAGAGGGAATTTTGATTTGGGATATACTGGTGAGTGCGCGGAGGGATTGGGTACTCTCTTTCTTGGTGTCATGGACGCATATGGAATAAAAACAGTTTTGTATTTGGATATTGTAAATGAGAGTATTGTTTCGATTAGAATATGGAGGAGTATATTTGGAGCTCATCGTGATTTCGTGGTAATTATCAGAGGCGAATAGGGTGATAGAAATAGCATCCTCTACGCAGTGAGACATTACTGGATCATTAGGGCCGGCCATGATGCAATGCAAGTTTAATCACAGAGGTTTGAATTCTGATTTTGATAACTGCATTAGAGATGAAAAATATCGTCTATCTGCTAAAGTATTTGCAATGAACTCTACACTAGTCCGTAACGTAGAT